ACCCCCACCTCCGAGTAGCTGGGGCTACAGATGAGCACCACCACGCTCGGCTAACTAACAGCCAGCTCTAAATCTCACTTACAGCCTTCCTGAGACCATTTCCCTTTGTATTTACATTTGTAAGAATATCCCTATAGATATCGGCACTAAATTTAAGGCTGTTAAAATCGGCTTCACTTACAACGTGAAGTGAACCAAACCTAGAATAGGCAGTTGTCAAAACTTAACGTTATTCCCAACATTCTTTCACATCCCACCCTCTTAATACCATCCTAGAAAAACAAATTCTATCCTAAGAAATACACACACTGCTTCTTGGCCCTCTGGCTAAGCTCAGGTGAAGAGGGGTGTAACTGCATCAGGTCTGTTGTCCTTACACACTCTGCTGTGTCATGGCTCAGATTATTTTATGCAAGTATCCCATATGTTTAAAGGAAAAAGAACTATTATTATTTTTTTGAAACAGAGTTCCACTTCACTCTGCTGCCCTAGATAGAGCACTATGGCGTCACAGCTCACCGCAGCCTCAAACTCGCAGGCCCAGGTGATTCTCCTCCCATAGCCTCCTGAGTAGCTGGGACTACAGGTGCCCATCACTATGCCCGGCTAGTATTTTCTATTTTAGTAGAGACAGAGACTTGCTCTTGCTCAGGCTGGTCTTGAACTCCTGAGCACAAGCGATCCTCCCACCTCATCCTCCTAGAGTGCTAGGATTCTAGGATTACTATGCCCGGCTAAAATAACTCTTCTTTATTAAAGATTAATCCTTATCACCAAACGCCATCTAGATTTCATACCATTTTTAGTATATAACAATAATACTTGGCACCAAAGATGATTTAGAAAGATACATTTATTACAATTTTTTGTACCTACGGCTTTCACTCAGCAAGTTCCCTCAATTCTAACTTGTCTTTAGAGCTGATTTGTCTGCTATTCCCAAAAAGCTGAGGTGTCAACACAATCCAGACAAATGATCTTTTCATATTTGACTCCTACCTGCTTGGGAGGGTTTAATAGCATGTTGAAAGATGTTTCTATTCTGGCATTAATTTCTAACAGGAGTTATGTTAATGTTCAGATAACAGGCAGGGCTAACTTTATTGAGACAAGCCAGAAGATGAGCCAGCCCTGGGTTGCTGGGTGCACCACGGCAGCAGCGGGCTGCCGCGTGTCCAGCCAGCTGTCCCTGACCACCTCTCTCAAGCCTGCAGCCCACTGAGCACTTAGCCAGCAGGCCGGACGCAGCACCCGTCTCTTAATTATTTACAAAGAAACCACCACTCGGCAATGAGACCACACGCACGCCAAGGAGCTAGCCCTGCTAGAAAAATAAATATTATCATCAGTCTTTACAACTGATGAAGAGGTCCAGGGAACAGTGAGTCCAGCAGCAAATTTCCTTGGAATCAGCTGCAAATCAAATTTTTCACAAGAAGGACCAGGGGGGCACCTACCATGGTCTGCCACATCCACAGTGCCACCTTATGCCACAGCACCAAGTTCTAAAATCAACTAAAAGGGTAGTGACCCATACTTAAGAACAAAAACCAAGTAGATGCAATCAGAGCAAGAATCTTACGCAGACCCAAGTATGAGTTTGTATTTCACTTCAACAAATTACAAAGTCACTTTTCAGGTTTTTATCTTGGAGTACCTTTAAATATTTATTCAGTTCATTATTTATTCATTGCAACTGTCTCCGATTATTACAGCAGTGCCTGGTAGTCCTCCTCACAACTCTCTATTGCTGAGGGGACTGGTCCCATTTCCTATCACCAGCTCCTATCTCTGGGGATTTATGGCCGCTGTAAATAGCTGTTAGGGGCCGAGACTTGGCCTGGGGTTCTAACCCCAAAGCAAATTTGTGTTTCTGGTTTTAAGCTCTAAAGAGTACATTACACACACGCGCACACACACGCACACTCTGAGTTCAGGAGTTTACTTGGCTAACTTTACAGAGATTCCTTATTTCTATGTTTGGTTACTCGGAAGAAGCTGATTTTCATTTTAGAATTCATAACGTTTCTCAAGGTCCTTCAGCTTGAGACCCTCTGTGTGCTATCAAGTCTCAAATACCCCGGTTTTCTTCTTAGAAAATATGCACACACGGACACACTCGCACAGCACTGAACACTGTAAAGTGCTCTCCGGCTAAGCTCACCACGCACAACCCTCTCCACAGTGACGACACTGCCCATACCTCCCAGAGATAACGTTTTATAGCTTCTATCGATGCTACTTCATCAGAGCCCCCCCACACACACACACAGTGAAGCAGGCAGTTACTGAGAAGAAACTGATTCTATAAAGGTTAAATGGTTAGTGACGCATGGCCAACTGGTGGCAAATTCATTGTTTTTTTCCTCATCCTAAGTTCCTTCACTAGAAACCCATATTTAAGAATTAAAAAAACTCTTCCTGCTACCTTATTACAGCACAGTCTGGGTATTACACGATGGTAGGTCCATGGGCTCTCAGTCTCGGCTAAAGCATAGAGGACTCGGGTGACGATGGCATCACCAGCTTGCTGTCCTCTGGTCCACCCAACATTGCTTTAGCACCGATCTACCTACCACATACTAGTATTGAGTAATACTCAGCATTACTGAATTTTATACTTACAAATGGTTAAAATGATATCAATATTTTACCACTAAAAAAAAGTCAGCTAAATTGGTTTTACTGCTAAACCACCATATGTCCCAAACTAACACATTTCACTTCTCAATACCAAATACCTACATCTTACAGCAATGGTCTCCAGTCCACAAATTATCATGTGTGACACCCACAGTAAGTAGCCCAATACCATCATCTTGAATCTCTCTAAAAAGAAGCAATGACTACACCTTAAAACAGGACTCTGACACCTGCCCCACCATGCTTAGCACAGAGTTTGGTAACTACATATAACACCTTTCCCTGGGAGCTGGAGGGTCAACTCAGAGTTGTTTTTGTTTTGATTTAATCAAAAGCATTATTTTAATGAGTATTTTTCTCTTTAGGAAAATATTACTTTGTAGAAAAATTTAAAAATACATAAAAGCATAAAAAGGAAAATTAACACACAAAATTAGCTATCCACAGTTAACTATGGGTGTTTTTATTTTCTCCTTTCTGTGTTCTTTCCAGGGATGGATAATTTTTCCTCTCTTTCTCTTCCTTCTAATAATGCCAAGAACAGGCTGAACAAATTCAATAGCACTAATTAATTGGTAATTTCTTTCTTTAGTTTAAAATTCTACTGTTTGTTATATATTAAATCCATATCAGTTTGGATTATTTCTTGCTTTCTTTTTTAATCAGATTAAAAAATTATTTGCAATGTGTGGTTTTTCTTTTGTTTTTTTTTTTTTTTTTTGAGACAGAGTCTCACTCTGTCGTCCTGGAGTTGGGTGCCATGGCATCATACTCACATCAACCTCAGACTCTCAACTCAAGAGTTCCTCTCAACATATTCCTCTAGGGGACTGGACATGACCAATAAATTGCAGGTGAACCCCACATGAGCCC